AAGATACTAGTAAGAAAGTATAATTTAAGTTAACTATAATAAGAGTAAATAATAAAATCTATCTATCCTTATATCTTTATTACTTCTAGTTCTACTATTACTACTATTATAACTTTTCTTAGTCTTAGCCTAATATCCTAATAGCTACTATTTAAAGATTACTACTATTATATACTAGTGTCTAATAGTTATTTTAGCGTAATATTAATTACGTAATTATCGCTCTATAGTAATTATTACCTTCTAACGTGGACGTCTATAGGCCTTTAGCTATCTCGTTACTTGTTAAGGAGAGAATCCTTCTTGTTACTTGTAACGCCCTAACACAACCCCCACCCATTTACTAGTCTAGATAAAGTAACTATTAAAGTTTTTTTTATTCTCTTTTATAGCAGTGTATATAAAGAAAGTAAAGTAGATAGACTAAATAAACATGTTTCCTATATAAAGACATCTTATGTAAGAATTAATAGAGTTATTGTTACTGAGGATTTTATATCGTTATTGAAGAAGAATATTAAGAAAGCTTCTTCGGCACAAAAGCTTAAACTTCATACTGCAATCAAAAAAACCCCACTAGAACACCCTTCCACATCTGTATAATCAGACAATCTTCCTTGCACGCCACTCACTAGCCTTAGCCTTGCAGAATTGGACAGCTTGCTTATGACCTTCATCACTCTGTCCGCCAGCAGCAACACACGCCTTGTTAGCCTCCTGACGTTTTAGTGCGCACCTATTTGGATTTTTAGTTGCTATATATTTATAATCAACTCTGCTAAGACTTACTCGGTGTATCCAGCAATACACTTCTTCTTAAGTACTTCCTTAGCATTCTTGTCTCCTCCCTTCTTGGTGAAAGTGGTAATTGCGTTACTAGGGCATTTCTTCTCAGCAGCATGGTACTCCTTGGTCAGGTCCTTCATTTTTTGCAATTGCTTTTCCTGTTCCTCCTTCACCTTGGCGTCCTTGGAGAACACGGGGTTGCAGGTGGGATTGTCGCGAGCGAAGACATCAGCGACGGCACTGACAGCATTGTCGTTGGCCACAGGTGCAGCTACGACGATTGCTGGAGCAGCCAACAGTAGGGCAGCAAGAAGGGAAGTAATCTGCATTTTGAAAGCGACGTTTGAAATCGAGTGAAAGATTGAATAACAGAGTGGGTAGTACTGAAAGAGCGTAGTTAGTTCAGAGAACAGTAGAACTGTGAAGCGTGAGTGATAATGCTTTCGAAAATACATTACCATCTCTTTTATATATACTATCAAGGGCTGTACTGTGTTTATACGCGCAATAACTATTTTGCAAGATTCTAAGGTCGTATAACGGCTTTTCTACGGCTACAATAGTATGAACACACAGACCCTGCGTACTCGTATTCTGATATTAATCTACTATCATACAACGACGCTCTCGCCCCTCCACAACCCTTACTAGTAGGAAGTCAAAACTATGCTTTGTGGGAGCTAAGGCTTGCAATGTCGGTGCAGCAATCAATCCATGGCTAGGATGTTAGTCACCATGCTCTACGCATATTCTATGACCTTTATGCATCCTCATAACTCTTACAGCGCTTACAACGCCTGCTAGGCGACAGTAGCTTACACAGTCTATTTGGTTCTGCGTAGCCAATAAGGCAAAGATTGTGGGATGGGTTGTACGAGCAGTTTTCGAGAAACGGAACTCCAGAATTCTAACGCGCGTCTACCTCACAAAGAATAATCACCCAACGGCTCTAACGTCTTATCACGATCTCAAATAAATTAACCAAAATTATGAACTGAGATCTAGTGCTGAGCATTTAGCGAGGGGAGCATTAGCATTCTTGGACGCCAAGTCTGCTTTAAATATAATAAAAAGATTTTATATCATTACGTAAGCAAGAGAGAAACGTTAGGCAGAAAAGATGTCACAGAAGGCTTTACTTTTGAAACTATCGCTGCACTTAGTCCTTTTTGTTGGTACAGCGGACAGGCCGGGCAAGAACATCGCCCGCCTAATCGAGTAAGGTATTGTGAGTTATATCGCTGATCATGTGGGGGCTGTCATCGTAGTCCTCAAGCAGCAGTACTACGGCCTCTCTCTAAGCCATTCAGAACATGTCGTAGTACCTTAAAGCTATTTAGGTGCGAATAGATCCTCTCTGCATGCGAATCAGGAGAGTAGGTATGCAATGCTTATCTTGGCTAAATTAAATCCCTATTAGCGGTCTGTGGACAATATTTTTGCGTAATACTGTGCGAGATTTCGGATTAGTTCCTGCTCCGATATACCAGGCGACGCCGATGCGATCAGAGGTTCACAGGTTTTCTGATTGTTCCGGGAAATCGGGTCCTACTACATCCAGGCTACAGCTCTGCTTCATTAATCTACTGTCTGGATGTAAGCCTCCGAACCTCACCGCAAAGTACAGCAAACGTTCTGCTGAAGGATTGTAAGGTTCCGCATCTCAAATCCCTCATATACGCCTCAGAGCACTTGCCATAACTATACGTCAATGCATCCACGATCTAGACACTTATAGTACAGATACATCTCATTACGTGATGAAGCTGGTAGAAGTTCTCATCAATTGCATTGTCGCTACATGTCATACCGCATTCCAAGAACCGTTTAGCTTTATTCAGCGGACAACACACTTTGCTACCCGTCCTCCGCGAGGGTTCAATGCTACTTTCGAGCAGAACTATTGGCTTGACGTGCAGATATATTCCAATGGCCATCCCGCCCCTTCTGCACTGTAACTTCTGTCAGGCATGCGCGGCGAGAGCTACGGCCAATTCCCCCTTGGGAATGGCATGTAAACTAGCAGGGTAATCACATAACATCGATAGATAGTTCTTCGTAATGCTGACACTAAATATACTTTTCAATATAAATTCAAGTGTAGTAAGAGTAAAGCTACAGCGTAGTTAGCCGTGTTATATAATACACTTCGTACTCTAAAACTACGCCTTGCTAGCGCGTCTCATCGTTTGCATAACTCTTGGCTGCTTATTAATATCAGGGTCTCCACTGACAGTCGTATCCTGATCCGTTGCTCACGAGGACCTCCCGTTAATTTCTCCGCGGGTTCACACATCAATCGTCGCCACGCCTTGCCGTCAAATGTCTTCATCATTATTGCAGTCGCCCGTTCGATAACTGCGATCAACAAGACTCCAACACTCTTCTGGCCTTGATCTCAAACATGGCGCATAGGGCTCTATTGCTCCCTGAGGTGGTAGCTGCAATATTGAACACTGGAAGTGATGAGCCAGGACTGTTGTACAACTGTCTTTTTGTCAACCACCTCTTTCTCGAAGAAGCAAGGCGAATTCTGTGGTCTACCTGCGATTCTTTCACTGGAGTTCATCCCGACATACAAGATCTTGGGACGATGGTGCTGCGCGACGACATAGGTCCATACCGCGCACAAGTGTATGCGAATCTGGTGCGGGAGTTGTCTTTCCATTACGACAATACCCAAATCGACCAGACAAGTTGGCATAGCGTATTATGCCAACTGGAATTTCCACAATTGGTATCTGTTTCGTTCTGGGAGACAGATCATGGGGCAGCGCTCAACACCGAGGCTATAATACTTCACTACGCCAAGTCCAACCTCCGCCAACTTTCCGTCGATGGTTGTGTACCGCTTTCGGACCACTTCTTCGATAGGATGGCCAGTTTGTGCTCAAAACTGAACTACTTGCTTTTGCATCCATTCAAAGTCACAGCTTCTTCAGACTCAGTGGTGCGAATGTTAAAGAGAATGCCCAATATCGGCTCGGTTGATTTGGAGCGAGGATTCGAGGAAGTCTTTTCTCTCAAAATGTTAGAAGTAATCGCTTCCTACCCAAACCTCAACCAAGCTGTTCTTCCATATGTCCAGGATGATGATCTACTGGCAATCCAGGCAGACGCGGAAAAGCGTTGGTTCCCTAAGCTCAGATACCTGTACATCAGCGCCACCGCAGAGAGTTTGAGAATCTTTCGTCAGATTGTTCCTGGGATCGAAGCAATAGGCTTAAAAAACCACGAAATGGGGCGTACGAATGATGTATTGATTAGTGCGTCGGGCTTTCGGCAGCTCACATCTTTCACCGCTCAGCTCAATTCGAGCACAGTCATCCACGGCGACGAGCTCCTACAATTGGCTCAGGGCTGCCCAGGCCTGGAAGAATTGAAGATAGGCATTGATAGCTGGTCTGACACTAAACCCTACGCGACAGGAATTACGGACAATCTCATCAGAGAACTAGCCCCACATCTTTCTAATCTGAAGCACCTCTACCTGCTCGTCGAATCAGATATTCGGTGTGAGACGGGATGTATCCAAAGCATTCAGACTCTCGGCCGACATTGTAAGAAGTTGGAAGAGTTAGTGATGACATGCCGATCTGATTGGCCGTTGATTACTTCCCTCCCCCAAAGAGACATCCCTCTGGCTGCTAGCCTTGAACAACTACAGCTTCTGCCTGACAACCATATGGGGCAGTGCTTAACCGAAGAAGAGTATAACAACTTGGTGCGTATCTGGCGGGACAATGCGAAAACTTGGCTGCCACAGTTGAGCTTTATGATAATCCGTAATGCAGACGAGTGGGAAGAGGCGTTCGTAGATGCTAGGTTGACTCCGGATGGAACTATAGACGAAGAGAGCGAGGTCTAAAAATTATATTTCACTAAAAACTCATCTATCAAAGTGTCTCCATGAAATTGCCGACCTAGGTTTTGTAGGCTGCATGAACGAGCTGGTCCAGCAAGCGCCCTGGAAGTCTCGAGACCGCCGTTGCCCAATCCACATCCGCACGCCTAGCCTGAAATTCAAACTGCTCATCATCATTCCTAATATATACCAGTCTATGATGTAATGATGACCTTGCTGATTGCGATAACCCCAGTTGGAGCACGGCTGCAGCGTGTCAAGGAAGCAGAGTGCGTTGATGGTATTTGTGCACGGGTCTACCATCAGCGACTCGGGTAGGCTGTGCAAGATGCCGTCGAACTCCATCACATCCAATGTTTTTCTGCGTACATCGATGAGCCATTTATGGACCGTGATCCTCGCTGGAACGCGAGTACTAAAGATGGCTCTATTGATTAGATAGCCCGCCACGGAATGCGCGCCCCAAGAGGCTAATGGAGAAATCGACAAGTTCGTTTCCAGATGTGCTTTTTAGAAAGATCGAACATACTGCTTAACCAGCGTCGTGGCGGTGACGCGATGGCTGCGTGCTGCTTCGTCGAGTTGGGCTTTGGTTGATGTTACTTGCGAGTTGAAACGGACCAGTCCATGCTCCGCTTTTGGTATGTGCTGCTTCTTGCTGGGGGACGGAAGTTGTAGAATTACGGATTTGGATAGTTCATTGAGAATTCCTCCAAAGGTTCTGCGCGCCTAGTCCAGGTGTCGTCGCTTGTAATCGTGGATGAAGTGTGCATACTCGTGAATCAGCGGCCCGCGTGGGACTTGCTCGCCGGCCAAAGCGCGCTCCGTGTCCTACCAGAGCAGAGCGGACGATCACAAATCTGTCAAAATGCAATGCATTCCTATTACTAGTGCCATTTTTCTTGGTCCAGGGACAAAGACGCAAGTGACCTGGCAGTACGGTACCTCCATGTCTGCACAAGTCGTCTCGTCCAAACAGCGCCAGGCCTGCTCCTCCGACTTCTTGCAGGCAGATTCAGAGTCTGAAACGCTGGGGACGCTCAAGTCCCGCCGATTCAGATTGAGTTTTTCAAGGTCGTGCAGCGTGAAGCTTGGCAGGTCGAAGCGTGTGTGGAATATCTAGTGTGCCGTGGCAGCCGACTCTACGGCAGAGTGCAGTTCGCTTGATATGGGCATTGCCTTGGTCTCCCTAAGTGGGACCTGTCATCTAACAATAAAGAGTCTTCTACGTTGCTACTTTTGAAGTATCTCTGGGCATGACGTCGACCGATATCCATCCAGGCGCGCGAGCGGCGTTTTCACGTCCCTTAAAAATCCCCTCAAAGATTGTGCGCTAACGTAGTTTATAAGCGAGTGAGCCATACAAGCGAGTGAGCCACCCCACCAACTTTGCGCACATCTATAAGCGTATAGCTCCACCACATTATGTTAGTTTTGATAGATATTAACGTAATAGATTAATTACTATCTATAATATCTTTCTTGCATGTACGTGTGTTATGGCCAGTCTCTCTACACCTGCTACAGCGCGCTAGAGCCTGGCGGCTGACACCTGATCGCTC